GCAAGATAGAAAACATTTCGTTGATCAGCTGTACGTCGTAAAATTAAATCGTGGACCTACTTATGTTCCACCATATCAAATGTCTGTCTCATCATTATATGCATCCATGGAAGAGATCATTCAAAAACAATATAAATCATTACAACATGATTTAAATATTCTATTTAGTAAATGTGAAGTAAATGTAGCTCTATCTATGTTTATCAGAAATGAAATTAAAAAACTATTTACTAACATCTTTTCGATTTCATTACCAACTTCTCTTCGTGAACGTGCCCTCTATGAAAAACAATTGGTACAATCTATTCGTGAACATTTGAAAGCCAACGATTTAATTTTACGACGTACAGCTGATCAACGAAATGTTTTCTATCTTGCCAATAAAACTGAATTTGAAGAGAAATCAAATGAATATATGATCAAAATGGATACGTTTAAATTATGTCATATTATCGATAAAGAAAATCTTCAAGGCACACGTGATTATCTAACAACAAAAATGAAATCAATGAATGAGCAATTACAAACCATCTTTTCTGATAAAAAATATAAAGATATATTAAAAAAACTATTCATTACTATTGATAAAGTACAATTACCATATTTATACTTTTTACCTAATGTATCACTAGTAAGCTATTGTTTTCTTGCTAAAAAAAACACACGAGTTAAATTATTCATGTTTTCTATTGTTGATTTAATTAGAAATCAAATGAACTATCCATACAACCCATTGTAGTAGCACAACGCAGTGCCACAGCTCGATTAGCTTACTTTTTAGAGCAACTATTACGACCTATTATTCTACGACAACTTGAAACGACCACATTTCAGAGTGGAGCTGATTTTATTCGAAAATTAAATGATTATCTAGAACAATCTGGACATGCTCTTCGTCCGACAACTAATTTTGTGACTATCATTATTTCAAATTTTTATTCAATGGTCGATCATGATACTATGCTTCTGGCACTTCAAGATTTTTTAATGGATCCTTGCACTATGCCAACTATACAAAATATATCGATTGGCAAAGTTTTTCGGTTAACTACTTTATTTCTACGTCATAATCTATTTTATTATGATCATAAAATCTATCGTTTTATCAAAGGTAGTCCAACCAATTTTCCAATCATGGAAACTTTAGCAACCATGTATATACTACCATGGTTACGATCATTATTTAGACAATCTGTATTAGAAAAAGAATTTTATGGCCGGTAAGCTTTGATTGTTTCTTTGCTTTTTTCTTTTTATCTTGCTTTGTGTATCATGGGAATATTTCAGATTTCAAAATCAATTCTTTTTAACATGGAACAAAACCAATACTGAATTTTTTCATATGATTAAAATGATTCGTAATCAACATAAGGATATTCATCTTGATATTAAAATTGATTCCACTGTTCAATTTTTACATGTTCATATTGAAAATCAAAATGGGACTTTCTATAGTCGTGTCGATCATGATTCAGAAATGATGCAAAAATATACTTTGCCATATGTGGTTGGTAATTCAAAAGTTGCACATGGTCATTGGCTTCGATCATCTCTCATTCGAGCAGTGCGTTATTGTACTTCGGTGAATGATTTTAATCAAGAACGCATCTATCTCGAGATGACTTGTTTAGCAAATGGTTATTCAATAGAATTTATTGAAAAACATATCGATCATTTTTTTACTCATTTTGATGCTGTCTCTTTACGTTCAGTTTTGGATCGACAAGTTTACAAGAAACTTCGCCTTCGATTATTTAATTTTATCAGTGAGCAACGACGTATCTTGCATGGAAATCGAGAATTAGAACAGAAAAATCAACGTTTTCGATTATCTTATTTATATGAATTTGGTCCAAAACACAAACTTAATCAAGAATTAAAGAAGACTCTATCGGCCAGTTTAAATTCAACGAGTAATTCGTCAAATACCAAAAAAATAGACGTACGATTTACGACCAAACTACAACATTCATTAAATGCATTATTAAGTGAACAAAAACCATGTCATCCTTTATTCTATGAAAAGAAAATATGAATTTGATGCAAATTTTTGAAGATATTTTTCTTTTTACTTTGTTTTTTTGCTGATCAACAATACAATAAGACTTACTTATGGAACATATTGATTGATTCATGTCGAATCTATAGATAAATATCACTCGTAGTGCTTAGTAGCAATAGTAGTAGTATTCCATTATGATTTTGAATTTGATCAACTTTTGTTTTTTGATAATCAAATTTTTGTTTTGTTTCTCATGAAATCAATCCATATCTTATAGTGATATTTCGATCATGAGAAGAATTCTATTCTTTGTCTTCTAGATTTTCATACGTTTTCTCTGTTTTAATTATTCATTCATTCAAAGAACTTGATTCAGCGACTAATGAAGGACAATCCACGTCTAGTTCCAAACCATTCGGCCTCATCGAATCAACATATCCGTAAGTGATATTAATTTTTTTATGAGTACAGTTCAATGTAGAGACCTCATTATTATTTAGAAAAAATCGTGTGTAAGAATTCATTTCAATGCATTGATTTCAAACAAAGACCAACTTCATCGGATTTTGCATCATTACCTTCCATCTCAACAATGACATCTTCACAGACGTCCTGTTCTTCAAACATGTCATTCTCTTCATTACAATATGTTTCATCCTTATCTCCTGTATTGAAACAACAACAACAACAAGAAGAAGACGACAATACGAGGATAATACGGATGCCTTCCAGGGAATCTTCAATATCAACGCCCATACCAAGTATTGGTCAAAGTCAGATCAATCGAAACAGAGCATGCTTGTTACGTGAAGCAAAACTGTTGCAAGATCCCGATTTTGACTTCTTATGGGGAATGCAAGAAACGATGCAACCATTTGCTGAAACAGCTGGTGGACGAACGACATTTCTTCGTTCATTACGTAACAAACTAAACTAAATCATAGAAAGAGAACGATCATTGGTATACTTGTGCCAGATTTTCTTTTTCTTTTTGTTCTAGGATAGTTCATTGTTTAAAAATTTCTTTTTTTCTTCTCTGTTTTCTTTTATCTTTACTTAGGCATCATGCATTATTCGTTGTGTGTTAGTACATTCTGTTTGATGAAACGAAGAGTTTTTCTTGTGTCGTTTCAACTCTTCTCGATTTTTCATGGCTATGAACATTCTTTGGTTCATTTCTACGATCTCCATGAATTTAGTTCGAAATCACCATTTAATCAACAATTTCAGTATCTTTTATCAAAGTATTTTAATCAGCATACAAATCTCAGGAAGGAAACGTCAGCAATCATTCTAACAACACAATCTATCCATTCATTGAATCCTTTATTAGCTCAAGAAAGTAACCAACCGATAGGATTCAATCAATGGTACTTTATGAATGATATTAAACTTTCTTTCTTTGGTTTTTTTTCATAGGTTGTTTTTATCAGTTTTGTTTTTTGAATGGCTCGTTTTTAAATCGAATATAAAACTCACTTTTCTATTTCTCTTACTTGTAGATATCATTTGTCAAAGAGTCATCTTTTTCTCGTTTTCAAAAACAATGTCGAATTGGTCACAACAGCAAGACAAACAAGAACTATTCAGTGGTATTTCCTATGTCACTTTTCATTCTTGATATGTGTCAATTTTTCATTCGTTTTAGATGAATCTAGTCGAACACGTGAAAGTGATACACAACAATATCATTCATCATGGATTGAAGTAAATAGGAAACAAATTTATAAACCAAACAAATTTTCTTTTCTCCGATTTGACTAGCCAACTTCTGTGTCCAATGATACTAACACGTCATCGTTGACGACAAGTGAAAATGAAAATAAAATTTACGATGAACAACTTCGAACAACAGATGTCGTAGTAAATTTGTTTGATTGTATGCAATGCTATGTGGAAATTCCACGGTGTGAGGTAAAAATTTCATATGATAAAAAGAAAACAAGGATAATCTTTTATTTTTATCTCTCAATCATTTCACTTCAGGTCAATGAACAAGGACATGATTCGAATCCTAGTTCGGAAAACGAACATCTCTATCAAATACAAGAATTACAAGAACAACAAGAAATAGCAACAACAACACAATCAAATCAATCAACATCAGCAGGTATCGAAGAAGAAAATTATTGTGAAGGACTTGATGTGGAACTTTTTAATCCAATGAACACGTTTATTATAATTGATTTGCCATGGCCACGATCATCTGAACGATACAATGGAAAATAATCTAGCTCATAACAGTATTATTTGTAATGTTCATCTTCTTTTTAAACTTCGTTATAATGATCATCTTATTCTATAGTGTAGAGCACAAGACTATAGCGATTGCTTTTCTATCTTATTCTCTCTTTTTTTTTGCTGTGCTTCTTCTATTTACTGTTTAGATAGTATCAGAAAGTTTTGTTTTATATATTACATATTTACTATGCTTCTTACTTTATATAGTAGTCTACAAGAAACAAGTTCTTTTTATTTCTAGATAGAAATATTGACCTTGGATATGAATACAGACTACAATAAAGAATCAATCAAAATGCCAGCTTCAAATACTCAAGCTGGTTAGTATGAACTACTTCCACAAGTATTAGTCCTCATTGGACAAGAACAAAACTTCGAGAATAAGAAGAAGCAAATGAAGAAGAAAAAATGTCATAGTAATCGGTGACTATAACGCTTCAGAAAGAGATGTCGAGCACGAGGGATGATTGATCAAACAATAATAATGTTATTGACGATGCATAAAATAAACAATTTCATTCATCAAACTAATCGAGAAACCGACAACGATGAAGGCATGGATGATCCTTTTGCAATGAATATCAACAATGATATACAAGTGTCAATGTTCTCTGAATATTAGGTGGGATGAAATTATGAATGAAAATAATCACAATTTTTCTTTTTCTACAGAATCAATTTCATACTGTACCGTCTAGAAGAACACATCAAAAGAGTACGGATCATTGGAAGCAGTCATGTAAATTCTTACCAAATTATAAGAACTTTTCTCATCAGAAATTCAAACATTTACTTTCCAAAGCTATTCCTACGTATCGTCATCAAATTCAACGATGCCTAGCAAGTACTGAATCTAAAATTTATCCATACTTCGTCTCCATCATAACGATCTATTCTTTATTCTATTTAATTGAATTTTAACCATTAATTGTAGAATGTAGTTATATCTTAATACATCATTCATTTTCTTTTTCACATGTTTCGCAGTTTGTGTTTCGAGTAGTATCCACATCTACCTGCTTATGTTTTTTTTTCCTTTCGGTTCTAGATATCATTTTCAGAATTCTGTCTTTGTTTTGTTGTCTTTCTTTTGAATCTAAAGCGACAATGACCACATCAAATCTCAATTCTACTCAAATTATCGATCGTTGTAGTACGGTTTCGACAGCAACTGTAAGACAAATCAATGACAGAAGTCTTCCTATTGAATAGATCACTGTTTTCTTTTTCTTAGATATTAAATGAACAAGTCTTAGCACAACAACTTGTTCAATTATCTCCTTTTGAAAACAAACAAAAGAAGCAACAATCGAAAACAGTTACAGTCCAACCAAAAACAACTAAATGTCCAATAGAATTCATTCTATTGAAAACAACTGGCAGTGATTTTCAATCAACATCTGACTATCTTTGTGCAGAAAATCCATCGTTTGAAAAAAAACTTCGAACCATCTTACCATCAACGATCAATTTGGATGACTTGAGAGATATTGCTATTCTCATGCATAAAATTATATCCATTGAAATTGTACAATCTCTTTGGATCATCTATCGAAAATCAGGCATAGGAGAACTTCAATCCAAAGTATCTACACATCTATCAGATACTAAATTTTGGCCAAAAGAAGTTCATTTATTCATGAAACAATTTGAAATTGATCATATCCATGTAGATAGTGCTTGTTTAACTTTCATCAATCAATGTATACAAGAATTCAACACTAAAAGTGAACACTATCGACGTGAATTAAATATTAAAACAAGTCGTCTATCTGGTTATAACCGTAGTATCGAATATACTATTGAAAAGTTTGTACAACAAGGACTTCAATCGTTACGTATAGAAATCAATGAACAAATTGCACTAGTTCAATATCATTATACTAATAAAATATTTCAACAACTTTATCTTGCTCAGAATCCTAGTAAGAATCAAGTAAGCTCTCGTTTATAGATCATTCTTATTCTTTCTTATTTACTATTATTATATTCGAGATACAATTAATGAAACATTTATGTAAACTCAAATATGATCAAGAAATGACAAAACATGAAGTCAATTTTTTGAAAGAAAAAATTTCTTCACATCTAACTTCACAATCATTTGAACGTGAATCTATAGCAAAATCACCATGGATCGATCGTATTCATGTGTCAAAACCTAGACAAGAATTATACCAACAATACAAGAAAGTAGCCGAAGAAGCACGAAGTAATATCATGACCGCTTATATAGAATGTGCTGAAGGACAAAAACAACATTGCCAACAACAATATGATTTGGCAGTAAAAGAAATACGAGATACTCAACAAACACTACCATCCAATCAATCATTAACGGAAGCGATGCGGAATCTAATTCAATCACATTTAGCCAATATTAGCAAACACGTCGATTGTATCTACAAGTTAAAAACACAACTATTTCACCTCAAATCGAAAATTCAATAACTAGTTTATGTTGTTTTTTTGATTCAACGTCCTTGTCCTATGGAAATTATTTAGGAATAGCAAAGACAAGAACGTTAATGATCTATCTTATATATTAATGCTCTGTAGTGTTATCATTATTATTCATAGAGATTAATTCTTTAATATTAATCAATTGTCTTTTTCTTTCGTTTTGTTTTTTAGATAGAGGAAAATTCTTTCTTAATGGATATTCAACACAAGAACACGCTATCAATTCGACAACCGGTCAATATTCCACGACCCTTATGGGAACCTCGACCATTGACATCGGTCATAACAACGACTAAACCATCATTAAAACAGCATAGATCAATGAAGAAGAAAAGACGAATCAAACGATGTCACGGGCAACGAAAATTACGACGTTTCAAAAATAAATGGCGTCGACGAGGAATGAGCGAAGAAGAAATAAAGAAATTGACCGATAATTATAATCAAAAGAAAAATGGAATTTCAACCAAAGAAATATCGGACAATAACAATGATCAACCAGAACAACCAACTACTACAACAATGGAAAATTTGCAAACAACAAAGAAAAAATCGAATAAACGTAAACGAATGGTGACTTCCATTAGTTCACGATCGATGACAGAACAATTACCAAAGAAGATAAAGAAGAAAAATGTGAACATCAATCTGACTACAATAAAGCCAAATTATCGGTTACCTAAATATTTAACAAAAGCACCCAATTTACTTTTTCAAAATCTACGTTTACAATTGAAACAGAAGCTGAATACAAAAAAACAACAAAGATTTATTCATTGTCGACTTCAATTGTTCGATCAACAACAACGTCTAGATATTCATCGAAATTTATGGCAATCCTATTTAACACTAGGATCTGAACATCAACTATGGCCAGTAAGTGCTCTAAGACATAATCATTTGTAAAAGAAAAAAATGATGGCTCTTTCTCATTTTAATATCAATACAGGATCATGTATACAAAAGGGTTAAATCAAATGAACATACCTTATGTCAACAACTTGTTCAACATCGTTTAACGGAACTTCACGGACAATATGATCAGTGTACAACAGAATTACGTATACAATCTCTATTATGTCCATCAACACTCTTACCATTGGACATCATCGATCACAATCTTCGAGAATTTGTTGAATTGCAACAAAAGTATTTCTTCAATAAAATAAATTCTCGATTGACACGATATAAGAATATCATACAGGAAAAAGAATTATTTCAAACACTATCCAACTATAATCTTAGTATTTTACAAGTAATCTCATTATTTGTCGTAATTCATTGCTATGTATTCTTTTGTATAGAAAAATACGATTGATCAACTAGTACAGTTACGAGAAACACAATTACAAGTTTTTGAAGAGTTTCTTCAATTAGAAACACGAGTTTCAATACAATTTTTACCCGAGGATTTTGATAATTTAGAATATTTTATTACACCCAATCTTTATTCACCTCTCATTCAAGATTCAATGGCTATAGAATTGAAACAACAACAATATAAAATTATACAAGAAGCAAAACGTACATGGTTAAATATCTATATTGATGCACATGAAATGAAATATCGAGAGTATGAACATCAATATCAACAAGATTTAAAACAATTCGAATTCATTAGTTCAGTTCATATCGATACGACTGACATAACTCTATTCAATTGCGTTCTTCTTTATATAAACCATCGAGTAGATAGATTGAAACAAGAGATTTATTATGAAAAATTACCAATTTACCGAAGAAAATTCGTACGACTTCGTCAACATTTAATATCAACAAAGAAAAACCTAGTGACGGTCGCTCCGACACTTATTCTGGATGTTATTTGTCATCCATTTACTATTGCTGAATTAGCTTATCTTTCAAGAAGTTCGATTGATTTCTTGTTCTTATGATGATTTGTTTTCTTTTTGATCATGTTCCTTATTCTTTTTAGGTCCAACTTATATAAGACCCAATCAAAGTGCACTTCGTCCATTTGAACAACGAGAAAAACAAGTTGACAAAGAAGTCAATGATATCATGAACAAACTTAAGAATTATATGGCTGATTTCTATGATAGACGGCCAGGCTTACCAAAAACTTTATTGATGTATAAATTCTATTCAGAACGTCTTCGAATATATCTTCTTCGTCGTTATATGACACCCTTACCTTTGATGGATCACTTACGTGCACGGCGAGAATTGAAACTAGTCAAATCTATTGGACGAAAATTAAAGAAATATAAACTTATTCTACGTGAAACAGACAAAAGTGGTGTACTTCATATTGGTCATGCTCGTGATTATGAACGAAAAGCCATTGAATATCGAGAAAAAACAGGTGCTTACGAAGAATTAACATCCAATCCATTGGATGAAATATTTTATCAAGTAATTCAATTATTGAATAAATTACGTTCCACCAAGAAAATAAGTGTATCACAACACGTAAAGATGATGCCTATTCGAAATAAGATAGAAGTAGCTTATATGTATTTTCTTCCTAAACCACATAAGGTAAACATGATTCATATCATCATTCTTTTCGCATATATCAGCGAAAATAAAAATTGTTTTTTTTTAGAAAGGAACACCACTTCGACCGATTATAAATACCATCCATGCAGCAACAACACAAATTTCTAAATATTTAGATCAATTAATTCGTCCATTATTTGATCGATATGCTCGTCATACGACGATTGTGGATGGTGTTGATCTTCTTAATCAACTTCATAAATATATTCAAAATGGATTTTTTAATTCATCCACTCTTTTTGTAGCGTTTGATATTACGAATCTTTATACTATGCTACCACAAGAAGAATCCTTAGCTATACTTGCTGAATTTCTTCATGTACACCATTGTGAAATAATCCAAGGAATTTCAATTGATACTATTGTCGACTTAGGTCGTATTGTACTACAAGCTAATGCTTTTGTTTATGGTAAAAAATTCTATCGACAAATTATTGGTGGTGCTATGGGATCTGCATTTACATTAACTTTGGCAAATATTTTCATGTGGAAATGGGAACGACAAGCCATTCTTTCAAAATTACCTGCCCATGAATTTTATGGCCGGTTCGTTTTATTTGAATTATTCTTTTAATTTAATCATTGTTCTTGTCTTTGAATAGTTATATTGATGATATCTTCTTTACTTGCAATGAATCTGAAACGAAAGTGAAGAAATGGTTAGAATCAGCAAATCAATTTCATCCGAACATTAAATTAACCTATACCATCGCCAAGAATGTTCCATTTCTGGATGTTCTTGTTCGTAATCAGAATGGTATTCTTTTCTCATCCGTCTATCATAAACCAGCAGCTGAACCATCCCTTTTATCATTTTTATCGGATCATCCTCGACATGTCTTTCGAAATGTAATTCAAACTGCTTTGATGAGAGCTATACGACATTCATCGACATTTGACGCTTTTAATATTGAACGACGTACTATTCGTTTAACTCTATTATTAAATGGGTAGGTCTTTTTCTTTTTGTTTTAATTTCGGATATCAAATAAATGATCATTGATTCGTCTAGGTATCCATCAATGTATATTACTACACAATTTCAATCTTTCTTTATGAAATATATATCTTCAACTTTATCTCTTTTACCATTGATTGATAATGAGGAAGATTTTTTTGTTTTACGTAAAAAATTACTCACACAACCGTCGATTCCACAAGTATTAGTCATCAAAAGTGTAGCTTCAATCGATACCATGATTAATAACAAAATTATGGAAGATGATGGAAAAATAAAAAGAAAAGAAAAGGACTATAAATTCAACCGTCAAATTATTATTCATTGTACACATGAGGCAAGATTTGAAGGTTTACAACGACATATACATGAGATCCATGATGACTTCTTCAAAAATACAGATTATGGAGATATTCGATTAATTGTCGGGCATCGAAATAATCCAAATTTGGAATTTGAACTTGCACGTAAACGTCCACATTCGTCCATACTGAAGAATTTAACACCCACCAAAAGTAGCGATTTGACTCATCTTTTATCTTATTTTATAGAAATTTCGTTTAGAACAAAAACCCAATGAACTTCCTCCAACAGCCTAATCTTCGATAGAACATTATATAAACATTAGAATACTTCTTTTAATAGTTAGATAAACACAAAAGAAATACATTCTTTATTCTTATTTAATCTCTAATCATCATCCAATATCTGAATTCAATTTGTTTCTTCTTTTCAATTTCAGATAAAATAGATCAAGCGTTACTAATCATGGATTCCAATAAAGATCAACATAGACGAAAAGTACAATATTTCAAAAAGAAATATCGTAAATCAAATTTAGGTTCGAAAACAATATCAAATGAAATAATGTATCAATCGATACAGAAAGATATGATAGAAATTAATCAAGATAAATCCATATCTGTATCTCAACGCTCTTCCTTGAAAAAGAAATACTATCCTTTAACTACTGGATCAAATATCGATCCAACTTTATTTCTATCTGATTATTTAATGATATCTAGTGAGAATTTTCAACAAATGTTATTCACAATAATCACAACCGATATTGGGAGAAATTTCCTGGTTGAATTATTTAAAAATGAAGAAACATTGACCTATATTTGTCAATTTACACAATTCATTAATAAATTAACTTATTTCAAATTACAAAATGACCAATGGACATATTATTACCATCTTGGTATGACCAAAGGTATTTGGACTCGACGAGTATCGAAAAAAATGGCGATGGTTAATTCAATGTGCTATACATATGGTCGACGAAAAACATTGATTGAACAACGTCGAAAATATTTTCAGCAACAAATTGAAAATAATACATGTGAAATCTGTGAACATTTAAAACAAGCACCTTCATCGGTCGATCTAAACAAACTTATTGAGATCCTCATAGACTTAGTCTGTCAAGATCAATATCAATTATGTATTGAACTTCAAAGACGGAGAGGTATGCTCAAATTCGATGCAAAAGATCATCAATGGGTTGAAACTTTCTATCAATTAAAACCTAGACAAACTGAAGTCTGTTAATATATCTTCAATTAATATCATCGATCTTCTCTTGATTCTATTTAGATACATTCAGCAAAAATTATTTGGAAAGCTACCGACGATGAACAAAAACTTAAATATGAGATAGCTATGTTTAAACACTGGTTGTCTTATGAGTCTTCGTCAACTTATTGTACTTTTCAGGATTTAGCATTAACAAATATCAATTCTATATTGACAAATCTTCTTTTTGATCAACAATGGTTATTAACAACAAATATAACCATGAATGAAATGAAATCGATGGACACATTCATGAACGAGTTAATAATGCGAACAATCTCGGTTGCTGAAGAAATTGCTCAAACATACCAACAAAAAGCAATCAATGAGAAAACAAAAATATTGAATAATGGGAAAAAATTGCCGAAACTACCCACCGTTGATACGATTATCACTGCCATTGAAAATCGTCAAACCAATATGGTTCATCGTGCTCAATACAATATCGAACAAATATTACGGATTGCCGATAGAAAATCGATCACTACTGAACTATAAAACTACTTCCAAACAATGAACAAACTACATGAAATAGTTTTTCGTGTGCTTCTTTAGTGTCATAGTTATATCTCCAGTAATGATTCATTCATAATCAACTTCTCTTATCTATGTTTCAGAAAGATGTAGAAGAAAGAAACTTTGCATTCATAGTCTTCTCTATTTCAGATAGAATTTTGTCGAAAAACAAAAACTACATTAACTTGAAAAAGATACAAAATAAAAGTAAAACTTTAAAGTCTATTTACTACAGATGGATTGTAAGAGTATTGATTTAAATCGAGCCGAACAGGCTACTTCTTCTTTAACTAACGATGAACGACAAGGATATCAACCAAGAACATTACCAAATAATCATCATGGACGATATGCTTATTTGCCAATATTTCCAACAAAATTTGCTGGACTAGATAATTGTCTACTCTTGGCTAATGTACCAGGTTCGCATTTTAACGTGTGTTTTTTAGAGATCTTTTCATTTGATTGTTGCTCTTATTTTCTAGTTAGTCGTCTTGCATCTCATGAGCTTACTCGACGTCAACATGGAGCATACACATCAGATGCATTAATGATGATGAACAAGTACAATTATTACGATGCGTTCAGTTTGTCTGAACAAGATGCTGAAGAATTAGCTGTACGATTAAAAGTAGGCAAATCCATCATTACTTTCAATGCTGATCGACTTCGTGGAATCTGTTGTTTTCTCCTTACATTACACGAAACCTTTCGACGAAATGTTCTATTGAAGGAAGATATTGCCTTGAAAGAGCCAACACTCAATTCGAAACAAATGGCTATGGCATTGGAATTCTATCTACAAATGGATGGTCAGTTTTCATCTAGATATATGATTTCATAATTTTGATGCAGAATGATATTTTTTCAGTGGACCTATTCGACATGAAAACTTGTTCGTTTCGAGGAGCTGAACCTCTTTCTAACATTGAAGGTCTATTCTGTGGAAGAGATGAACCTCAAACAAGATATGCATTGGTTCCATGTGGTGATCTTTTTTGTTCATGTTGTCTTCCAGTACATACTTACATGAAAAGTCAACCGTGGCCTATCGTTGATTTTACTTCAAGTTCAATGCATCGATTTCTCAATGGTTATACTACCTATCTCAATTGTCCTGCAGTATGTTGTTATGGAATATTTAGTTTTATATCGATCAACTATCACTGTATTTTTAGACATGTACTACATCGAATGTAGTCTATGCTATGACATGTCCATGTGATCATTATGATTATATCGATTCAACAGCAGCAACATTGGCTGATGTGATGGCTTGTAAGTATCAATTGTATGAAAGAGTGATCATTTTTATATTTTCGATTATTCTTCTTATGATATAGATCATCGAAAACATGGCAATCGAATTATACATGAAAAATTGACGGGTAGTGCTCTCTTTCGAGGCTCATTATTCGATCCTGACGAGCAAGAGTAATGAAAGACACACATGATTAATCATTTAGGCTCCTATATATTCTTCTTTTTTTTTAATATTGTAGGAAGGAGATCGCTAATAAGATGCGTCTCTATCAACATTCAGCTCGATGTCCAATAGCACTTCGTTCATTTCTAGATTGTAATCCAAGCTATTGGTGCTTTATTCCTCTACTTTGGGAGGAAGCACTAGCAGAAAATACTGTTCACTTCCGAGGAAATTCTACTGTAGACCCTGACGTGGCCTATGCAATGGCAACCGCTGCCATAAATAATCATCGAGTGACTCGATGTCTAGATAGTGTGCCATTACCACCGGCTGCTTATGCTTTCTCATATCGACAACTACAAAAACAGCGTGTTTTTTTCGAACAACTTGTCTGTTCTTCCATTCACGCACGGCCTTATGCTGTATTGGATTTATATAAAATGGCGATTATTGCTGTTCGTAAGTGAACCTATTTTGATTCATTCTCATTGTATTCTCTTTCTTTTCCATTGATCTAGTACCCAATGATCATTCGGTTATACTACGATACATCATCGAAACATTATTCATTATTCATGGTGAAACGAAATTGAATATGATTTGTCCAATTGGTAGTGATGCTGAACAACGCTATGGTCGTCCGTATGATCTTGTTTGGTGTGCTAATTTGAATCGTTCATCAATGTGAACTATGATACTACTGACTCAGTGACGTTTGAAAGTGTAATAGCAACGATTGCCAATGAGTCTTAATTCAATATCAGCCATGTGCACCATTTAGTAGATAATTATTATTCTTTAGTGTTTGTGTTGATCTGTTTGTAGTTGATTTACTACATCCACAATCTACTTTTTTTTGTTGAATATTCGTTTTCATTTCTTATCATTTCTATTCAATTAAGTCAATAATATTCTATGATTTTAGATATAATAAAGAGATCGAAAAAAAATTTCAAATGTTATTCAATTCTTTCTTCCATATCTGTTTCATTTTATCATGCATATTCGCATTATCCAATGAATTACCTCTTCATGAAAATGATACACATGAAATGGTAACTTCGAATGTATCTGATAACGAAATCAATCACTTTCAAAGTCAAATTCGTTTCGAAGAAATAAACACATTATTCAAACAATATCCACATCAAATCATTGCAAAAGAGAATTATAATCAACTAATGCAATCTGATACGAATGCACAAAATATTCAACTACATGTATTACACACATTAATCAATGATTACCATACCATGATTGATAAGTTATATCAGAATTCTATCAATACAACATATATGACAGATGATATTACAAATCATCATTTCAAAATTGATATACTATACACACCTGGGTGTTATCTAATTTGTTTCTGTCTTATAAGTCTATGTATTGGATTGATCATTTACATATGGGTATCTCATGTCGGGTTCAATCGATATAATCCTTGCTTATCAAAATTTCTAAACTACTTAATATCTCGTCTTCACAAGCAACCAAAAATATTCACAACAACAACAAATCAACCAAAACAAGATCTAACCCAAATCCAATCAATCCATCAAAACAAACAATTTTCTCCATCCATGACATCCAATCCAAATCCTATTGTTTAGTTCAACATTGAATGATACCCCTATTTAGCATGGTATAAAAACATTAGCTCCAAAAAAACTTTCCAACCCGAAATAAACTTATTGCATGAACTTTTTCAAATACATATTAATTTAGTTTACCAATCTTAATAAAGCACTTTTATATTTCAATAATCAATCTATTATTAGATTTCATTTTCTATATCAGATAGCTTTTAACTATTCTATATTCTTTCCCCGAATCAACTAAATGATGATTACTCGAGAATTATGCTTGTAACAATATTCCTGCTACTCTAAAACTTGAATTCACCGCCCCCTATTTTCTAGTGCCTTTCCCGAAATTTGCCACTTGATAAGATTTCTCTGAAAAATTGAAATACTATTCTAGTATCGTGGTAACTTCTACACACCCTTTGCCGGTGTTCGAGCAAAAAATTTTTACACTCGATCTAATCGACAGAAAATTTTACTCGAAATTTGAAGTATCTTGTTTTTGATTTGATTTTTTTCTTCAAAAAATTGGATCAATTTGAACGGATACTTGCCACTTGATAAGATTTCTTT